TTCAGGATGGTAATTTGGGCAGTAGGCAAAGTCGTATTACCTTTAGACTTTGCCGATTGGACACTCTTTGTTTGTTGCACCTTGCAGTACTGTACTGTGGTGGGAATGCTATCTTCCACCTTGGGGTTTGGATACGTTGTTTTGGTGTCTCTGCACAATGCTGCATGGTGCTGACCTTTGTTACACCTATTACAGGTGTGTAATTGGGTATCACAGTCCTTGATGTTATGTTTCCTGAGGCACCTCGTGCAATGTTGCAAATCTTTGAGTCGCTCAACACGGGCGTCACTATCAGGAAAATTAGGGCAGTGGTACATTGAATGTTTCTCATTGCAGAACAAACATGTTCCATAGCTTCCAGTACCCTTTGGTGTCACGTTCTTGGGTGACACAGTAACTATAGGCTTGGAGGGTCCCACTGCATATACGCCCACACTGTTACTGTTCCACTTTGGTGTTGAATTATATTGTCTAGATTGATTTGGAGTACCTTTGGTACTCTGTGGTTTACTATTATTGGTTTCTGAGGGTTTACTTGGTGATTTTAATTTGTCATGTGTTCGTAATTGATGAACTACTGACTTTAAACCTTCAGATATTTCACTCATGGATAAGATGCTTTTATTGTAATGAGCACTCATTTGTCTCAATATGTCCCTAGGTATTTTCTCCTGGACAATTATTTTCAAGACCCACTCAGCCCCGTTTGTATCTGCTGTCAGGCTGAGGGCATTGATCAATGATTCTACCTCCAGCTTGAAGACTTGGAGTGAATCAGCTGAAGCCTCCGGTGGGGGTAAATGCAACAGCTCATGAACTAAATGTGATGTTCTTACTTCTGGATCAGCATAATTATCCTTGAGGAGTTTTACTGCCAGATCATAGCCGTCATTAGTTAATCTCAGATGGGATACTACTGTTTTAGCCTCACCTGATAATTGGCCTTGTAAATAAGAGAATTTACTACTCTTTGGTAAAGATTGTTTTGAGTCTACAAGGTCAACGAATTTGTTCCAAAATTCGTCCCAATCTTCCTCATCTTTTCCTGAGAAAGTGGGTAAATTAATTGGAGGGAGTCGAGCTTCTGCTTGACTCGTATTAGATACAACTGTTGTTGTTGTTGCTGTTGCCTTGTTCTGGGCAATTAATTTGACATAAGGCTGTAACGTGGCCTGAGTGTGATCTTCATAATTCGCAAGATCAACCATAATGTCGTCTATTTCTGTTTCTGATAAATTGGTGTTGGCAAGTTCAGCCACATATGTTGCTATTTGACATTTGATTTGCTCAAATTTACCTGCAGCTGCTTGATAATAGCTTTCCAGGTCAGCATAATCAACTGTTGATTGTTGTGACAAATCTTCACATTTCTTGATCTGTCTTGTTAAGTGGCCTTTAAGACCTGCAAGGGTTCTTTTCATTCTCCCTGCATTATCCATACTGGCTCGTTGGTGAAGCCTTGTGGAACTTGTACTTGGGCTGCTCATAATACTGAACAAACACTAATGGTAGCCTAGGGTAAATTCTGAACTCACTAGGCAATAATCCTACCTCTACTAGAGGTTAGCACTTAAAATTAATACACATTATATATATATACAATCATCCACACTAATGATTTGAGTGATAAACCAGTGTCACTGGAAGTACCTTTAGGTTAGCTCTTCTATATCACCCTAGGATGGTAGAGACACTAATTAATCACTCAAAGGTGTAATGATCATAAGTAAATTATTATATATACAACTCAACTCGAGTTGATAAAAATTACACCCAAAATAGGGTCTGGACCATTCATTAATGGTGTTAGGTTGTTCAATATAGTACAACTGACTATTGTAATAATGGGACTAGGATGAACAATAATAGTTCAACTAGTCATATCCTACCCTGTTGTGGGTTGGCAATTAGTAAATATTATACTGTGATCACTAGTGCAATATATATTAAATAATTCTCTATTTTGGAGAAATAATATACACAATTATTGATAATAGCCTCTTAATTAGCCTCTATGAAACTTCTAATATTATCTAGAAGTATTAAATATTATTAGTGACCTCGCGAAATAAAGTCCACAAAATTCGTAGATAATCTCTCGCGAAATGTAACACCACGAAATCCGTGAACAATCTCGCGAAGACACAGTCACTAATTTGGCTGGATTCTATATTAGCGCTGTCATTTCACGAAATAACACGCCACCAAATATCTGTGGGTGTGCATGAAACCGCTGACGAAGCTGAACTGGGCTGAGGGAGGCTCCTGAGCTCCCTCGAGGCTACGCTGCCGTCTTGACTGCTGGCTTTGTTTAAATAACACTGCACTAGATATTTAATGAATCCACTGGTTTGGTTAACTGGTTCATCCGGTACTAAGATGACCAAATGTGGGTTCAAAGGATCAAATAATCCGTCATCCGGTTCGAAGGACCAAATAATGTGGGAACCGACCTGTGAGATTTATATTTATTTAATTTATATGAATTTATATTTACGTTAATTTATATACTTCGATAGCAATTTGTATAATGTTAAGTGGACTGTATTTCTGCAATAATCTCAATCTCACAAAACGATCCTCTACACATTAGGGGGGGTTTAATAGTTTATATATATATGCAGCCAATCAAATTACAGTAATAGCTACATACATTGATGAGGTTCCTTCTCTTATAGTACAGCAGGTTAGTCCACCAGGTATAACTAGAGTGTAGACACCAAATTATCCTCTTTGAGGTAGCTTCTATCACCCAGTAACTGGTGCACATAATCTTACATCCTCGTCTTGACCTGTCAAAAGTGCGCTAGCTGTGAAGCCAGAATCCTATATATGACAAGCTATATCAGAGAAAACACTATACAGTACATGGAACATTAAAGACCTGGCTTAATTACCTTTAGTATGAGGCGATTTCGCGTTCTAACCGGCTAACCCTATATCCTGACATTAATGGCCATAAATGAATGATAAACGGGTTTCGGATAGACACTTAACTTGTATTTGTAGACAGCGTGTTGACAATGGTACACCTTTGGGTTCCATAACACTACGTCCAAGTAAATTTAACAGGAGCCGAATTTGCTCCCGTGTGAGCCTCTGGTCTCGTATAACAATAATGGCTGCCCTCCTTCCCCACTCTGACGCCTGGCCTACTTTGTCCAGATTTCAGAAAGTGATAGAAGGGTCACATTTACTCTACTTTAATATTGATAATTAAGTTAATTTATATAAGATGTTTTTATGATGGTAAAGTCCAAAGACTAATGTATTTAAGAATAATTCCCACCATAATAGGTGGTGGTTTATAATAGTATGTGGTGATGATATCCCGTTTTCTTTAGACGGTAATTCCACTACAAGTTACGTTTTCTATGGGTAACTTGTTGGTAATACAGTTATTATCTGAATGATTATTAAATGGTGTCGGATTTTCCGACACAGTTGCATGTACTCACATATAAGTACTTTGTCATTCATATGCACTTATCTAGATGTAGAGTATATTATTTAAGTATACTAGTATAAATTATTATTTAATTAACGTATTATTTAGCTTATTATTATTAACTTTAACTTATTATTTAAATAGATCTAGTGTATTATTTAAATATACTCAGCAATTGCATACTTTTGGTAATGGCTACTCGGGTACTTGAAATACATCAATACAATATACAATATACGAAATACAATATACACTGCGGTATATACACTGAGAGGATTATCCCGCTGCTCGGTGAATATACTCACTGAGTATATTACAGTATACTTGCTGGTTGATCAATAAGCGGTGGCCTTAATAACCCTCCAGAGGTTGATTGGCATTGATCCCGATATCAAAGATACTTATCGTTGCTCTTCACCTTTACCTTATCCAAGTTAAGACCTATATACATTATGCTGATGGTATTTAATCCCCGTAATTCTGAATTGATAAAAAAAATTTTGAAAATTTTTCCAGTAGCTATCCAGACGTCATTGTGACAAATAAAGTGTTTTTAAAGCTATGTGTGTGTGTGTGTATGTGTGTGTGTGTATGTGTGTGTGTGTGTGTGTGTGTGTGTGTACTCACCTAGTTGTACTCACCTAGTTGTGTTTGCGGGGGTTGAGCTCTGGCTCTTTGGTCCCGCCTCTCAACCGTCAATCAACAGGTGTACAGATTCATGAGCCTATCGGGCTCTGTCATATCTACACTTGAAACTGTGTATGGAGTCAGCCTCCACCACATCACTTCCTAATGCATTCCATTTGTCAACCACTCTGACACTAAAAAAGTTCTTTCTAATATCTCTGTGGCTCATTTGGGCACTCAGTTTCCACCTGTGTCCCCTTGTGCGTGTTCCCCTTGTGTTAAATAGACTGTCTTTATCTACCCTATCAATCCCCTTCAGAATCTTGAATGTGGTGATCATGTCCCCCCCTAACTCTTCTGTCTTCCAGCGAAGTGAGGTTTAATGTGTGTGTGTGTGTGTGTGTGTGTGTGTGTGTGTGTGTGTGTGTGTGTGTGTAATTACCTAAGTGTAGTAACAGAATGGGAGCTACGCTCGTGGTGTCCCGTCTTCCCAGTACTCTTTATCGTATAACGCTTTGAAATTACCGATGATTTTGGCCTGCAAGGAATTCTCACTCTACTTACACTTTACGCCAAACTTTGACCTTGGGGAGTGACCTTAAGTTCTGACCGCGAGGGCTGTGTACTCTCTCCAGCTCAGCAAAGGCCGGGGCCCTTCGCTCGGCCTAAACTCCCGTGACCTTAAAAGTCCCATCAAACCTGATTTAATAGTTCTATAATTGCTCTCGTTTTCACCGAAATACAGAAAAAAAAAATCTTGCGACGCGAGTTCAAACTATCACACACACACACACACACACACACACACACACACACACACACACACACACACACACACACACACACACATTATGGTGTCAAGTTTGCAGTTTTCCAGGTGTTTGAGTGCAGATACAAACAGCAGACGCTCAACTTGCAAGCACCGCTACTTCGCAACACACAGTGTTTTGAAGAAACAAATATGACCTGAGTTAGTGGCACTCTTGACAACAATATGAAGCAGTGTGGCACAGTCGTGTGGGCCCCCAGATGGTGTGGCACAGTCGTGTGGGCCCCCAGATGGTGTGGCACAGTCGTGTGGGCCCCCAGATGGTGTGGCACAGCCCTGTGGGCCCCCAGATGGTGTGGCACAGCCCTGTGGGCCCCCAGATGGTGTGGCACAGTCGTGTGGGCCCCCAGATGGTGTGGCACAGCCCTGTGGGCCCCCAGATGGTGTAGCACAGCCATATGGGCCCCCAGATGGTGTGGCACAGCCATGTGGGCCCCCAGATGGTGTAGCACAGCCATATGGGCCCCCAGATGGTGTGGCACAGCCATGTGGGCCCCCAGATGGTGTGGCACAGCCATATGGGCCCCCAGATGGTGTGGCACAGCCATGTGGGCCCCCAGATGGTGTGGCACAGCCATGTGGGCCCCCAGATGGTGTGGCACCGTGTCCTGCAGGAGTGCCACACCAATGATCTTCAATCATTAGCGAAACACTGAAGGAAATGTTCCTTTAACCACACCAAAGAGGAGGTTCCTTGCCTACACTACACCCTCCACTGTCTTCTCTCCTCCCCCTCTCTTCCCCACACCACGGGCTCACTTACCAGGTTCGAGCCCCACCCACCCTCCTGGCTGCATGCCCGGGTTCAATCACCTCGGATCTGGGGACCAGTGTGCTTGTTAGAGAGACCGCATGCCCGCATTCCTGTACCTCTTGCTTCATCAAGTCCAAGTGGCCATTAGGGTGGAATTGTTGTCGTATTGCGTATGTGAGTACATGTGTCTGTGTGTACTCAACTAGTTGTGGTTGTCCCCTCACTGGGGTTGAGCTCTGGCTCTTTGGTCCCGCCTCTCAACTGTCTATCAACTGGTGTATAGATTCCTGAGTCTACTGGGCTCTATCATATCTACATTTGAAACTGTGTATGGAGTCAGACACATCACTGCCTAATGCATTTCAATCTGTTAACTACTCTGACACTGAAAAAGTTCTTTCTAACGTCCCTGTGGCTCATGTGGGTACTCAGTTTCCACCTGTGTGTGTGTGTGTTTGTGTGTGTGTGTGTGTGTGTGTGTGTGTGTGTGTGTGTGTGTGTGTGTGTGTGTGTGTGTGTGTGTGTGTGTGTGTGTGTGTGTGTGTGTGTGCGTGTGTGTGTGTGTGTTGTGTGTGTGTGTGTGTGTGTACACACCAAACACTAACGCCCACTAGCGAGAAAAGAATCAGCAGCTTCGATAAAAAATTCTTCCACAAACTCATTTCAACACTGGGAACCAATGAGGCAAGGTGCAGAGTGGCCTACGCAACACACACACACCAACACCATCTTGCAACACCTCCCTCGTGAACGGCCACATCAAAACAACCAAATACCACCGAAGACAAAAAAAAATAATAAACATTTTGCTTATCGAGTTTGAAAACTTATTGAGATCTTGACTACGGCAATTTTTTGGTGTTGTATTTTCAGTTGTGCGATATTATGAGTGTTGCAACGCGTGCAATTGCAACACAAGAGCTGCGCAACACGCTTATTGCGGGTCAACATGATGTTGGAACTACTGTGGAGCTCTACGGCAGCTACACCACCGTGTGGGCTAAGTGTAGAGAGCCCAGCTTGAGAGCTCTGGGCTCTCTAAAGTCCCTTCGGGCTCACCATAGCCCGTGCTACTTGGAACTTTTTATTCCAGGTAGCAAATCTTAAACAACAACATCTCTAAAGTCACTAGACAAGCTCTAGGACTCTAAAGTCCCTAGACCTGCACTTGAACTCTGCATTAACTGTTCTCTAGCTTCACTAGCCCTAGACTTCAGGGCTCTAAGAGTCACTAGACTAGCTCTGGAGCTCTAAGGGGGGTTATAAGTACATGCAAATGGGCTCTAATTAACTAGACGCGTGTTCTTTACACGGGTTACTGAGAAAGAATGGCGCCAACGTGCAGGAATTCTTGGAGAGAGGTCGAGGAACGAGTCTTGTGGGGTGTGTGGCGAGGCTCGCTCGCTAGTTAACATGTAAATAAATACTTAGCGTTAACTTAACCCAACACGGCACCGCTCCTGTGCCAGGCATGTTCACCACGGGCTCACCATAGCCCGTGCTACTTGCCCCGCTCCTGTGCCAGGCATGTTCACCACGGGCTCACCATAGCCCGTGCTACTTGCTCCGCTCCTGTGTCAGGTAACTTACGGGCTCACCATAGCCCGTGCTACTTGCACCGCTCCTGTGCCAGGCATGTTCACCACGGGCTCACCATAGCCCGTGCTACTTGCTCCGCTCCTGTGCCAGGCATGTTCACCACGGGCTCACCATAGCCCGTGCTACTTGCTCCGCTCCTGTGTCAGGTAACTTACGGGCTCACCATAGCCCGTGCTACTTGCTCCGCTCCTGTGTCAGGTAACTTACGGGCTCACCATAGCCCATGCTACTTGCTCCGCTCCTGTGTCAGGTAACTTACGGGCTCACCATAGCCCGTGCTACTTGCTCCGCTCCTGTGTCAGGTAACTTACGGGCTCACCATAGCCCGTGCTACTTGGAACTTGTTCCGAGTAGCTGAATCTATAACGACAACAACAACTCAACCTAACCACTTAGGCTGGACGGTAGAGCGACGGTCTCGCTTCTTGCAGGTCGCCGTTCAATCCCCGACCGTCCAAGTGGTTGGGCACCATTCCTTCCCACCGTCCCGTCCCTAATCCCTCTCCTAATCCCTTCTCAGTGATATATATTCGTAATGGATATATATCACTGAGAAGGGATTAGGATAGGGATTAGGGATGGGACGATGGGCAGGAATGGTGCCCAACCACTTGGACGGTCGGGACTTGAACGTCGACCTGCATGAAACAAAACCGTCGCTCTACCGTCCACCCCAAGTGGTTGGGCAGTAATACAGGATTACGATTCCCGAGCGCTGTCCACTCAGCCATAGGCCCCCGTGTATATGTGCGTGTAATTACCTAAGTGTAGTTACAGGATGAAAGCTTCGCTCGTGGTGTCCCGTCTTCCCAGTACTCTTTGTCGTACTCACCTAGTTGTGTTTGCGGGGGTTGAGCTCTGGCTCTTTGGTCCCGCCTCTCAACTGTCAATCAACTGGTGTACAGATCGTATATTGCTTGCGAATAAGGTGTGTGTGGTGTAAGTCTGAGCATCATATTGACTGTTGCCTAAGATTGATAGTTCTGAGGCAGCACGGGGGGGGGGGTTATAAGTACTAACAAGCTAGTTAGTACTTATAACTAGTTATAAGTACTAGGGTTGGCACTAACAAGCCATTCGCATTTCAACACAAATCTCTTACCACCAAACTCTTGCTACAAAACCCCATTCAATGTGTTGACCAGGCCACACACTAGAAAGTGAAGGGACGACGACGTTTCGGTCCGTCCTGGACCATTCTCTAGTCTATTCAATTTGTCTGTCTTAAATACGCTCTCCTTTTGATCCTTGTCCTCACTCCCTCCATCTCTGTCTGTCTCTGTCTCTCTACCTGTCTCTCCCTCCTCCCCCCGTCCAACATGAACACTCTCACACCGTCAGTCAGCAGCCTAGCGAGCCGGCTCACAAAGCAATGTCGTTTATAAGTTGTTTTCTCTTTCGTGGATCTGTTGCTTTATTTCGCAGTATTTTACAATATACTTAGTCAAGTTTTTCTTTATTACATTGTGATTTTACATGTTTTCATCTATATGGATTTTGTGTGATTTTTTCTGTTTAGGCTTCAGCATGAGAAGGAGAAAAACCTTGTGGACCCTAAGGTGGTCTCGAGGGTTCAGTGGCCGGCATATATAGAGTCATGTCAAGAGGAGGAGATGCATGTGGCAGAGCTCTATCTCTCGGGACCCAACATGTGCTCTCTCTCTCTCTCTCTCTCTCTCTCTCTCTCTCTCTCTCTCTCTCTCTCTCTCTCTCTCTCTCTCTCTCTCTTCTCTCTCTCTCTCTCTCTCTCTCTCTCTCTCTCTCTCTCTCTATATATATATATATATATATATATATATATATATATATATATATATATATATATATATATATATATATATATATATATATATATATATATATCTATTTCAAAGTCTCCGTGGTGTAGTGGTAAGACACTCGCCTGGCGTTCCGCGAGCGCTATGTCATGGGTTCGTATCCTGGCCGGGGAGGATTTACTGGGTGCAATTCCTTAACTATAGCCTCTGTTCACCGCAACAGTAAAATGTGTACTTGGTTGTAACAATGATTCTTCGCGGCGGGGATCGTATTCCAGGGACCTGCCCGAAACGCTACGCGTACTAGTGGCTCTACAACCATGTAACAACTCTTGTATGTATCTAAAAAAAAATATATATGCGAACAAGAACCCAGATAGCCAGGAGCACTATGTACCATACCTGGTTATCTTGAGGTTATCTTGAGATGATTTCGGGGCTTTAGTGTCCCCGCGGCCCGGTCCTCGACCAGGCCTCCACCCCCAGGAAGCAGCCCGTGACAGCTGACTAACACCCAGGTACCTATTTTACTGCTAGGTAACAGGGGCATAGGGTGAAAGAAACCCTGCCCAATGTTTCTCGCCGGCGCCTGGGATCGAACCCAGGACCACAGGATCACAAATCCAGCGTGCTGTCCGCTCGGCCGACCGGCTCCCTACTGGTTACTTAACCACTCGACGCAATTATCTTCAACCATCTGGAGGTCAAGAAACACTAGCTAAGAACATAAGAACAAGGTAACTACAGAAGGCCTATTGGCCCATACGAGGCAGCTCCTATCTATAACCACCCAATCCCACTCATATACATGTCCAACCCACGCTTGAAACAATCGAGGGACCCCACCTCCACTACGTTTCGTGGTAAATGGTTCCACAAATCAACAACTCTGTTACCGAACCAGTATTTACCCAAGTCTCCTAAATCTAAACTTATCCAATTTATACCCATTGTTTCGCGTTGTCACTAAATCCTTCCAGTTTTATTGTTCAACGTTACTTCAGCCAGGTGACATCTTCAGGAGTACACTATGTTACATTAACACAGTTCAACTTACAAGGAGACTTCTAGCCATTTATAAGTGTGTGAGAACACACTTATAAATGCAACAGTACCCCCGCCCCCCCTGAAGTGTACGATACTCCTTCCCACTAAGGAACATACCGTACGCCAACCATTAACACCGCTACCACTGTCTTGTACGTCAGTTCCTGGCCTTAGGAAAAATATACGTCAGAATTCGGCGCACTACAAACAGGACCGGTTGCAGAAGGCGGGTAAAAAAAAAATAAACGCAATTTTAACAGCTTCATACATACGATAATATTTACATAATTGCACAAAAGAATGGTGGTAAATAAGAAAGGAAAAAAAACAGGTTTTTGACGCAAAGGAGAATCATTTATTGAACACAAATTACATAGTAATTACACGCTAGCAAGATAAGGTGGTGAAGGACAGGCAAGCTTACTCTCATATACCTTATACAAGCCTACTCTCATATACCTTATACAAGCCTACTCTCATATACCTTATACAAGCTTACTCTCATATACCTTACATAAGCGTCCTGGTAACTCAGGTTGCTAGCTACGCGACTAGTGAAACTTGCAGTTGAAAAGTCTAAGCATTCAGTCTATGACTAGACTTTGGTGAATCAGGCTGAGCGAGGCACGCTCCCCTTCCCCCTACCTCAGTATTATTATTATCTATATGTACAAAAAACTAACTACCATAAAAAAAGCTAATGAAGGTATTTGTATATAAGTTTGTTTCTACCGTCTCTTGTGCGCTGGGGGCAGTGGACGGTGTTGTACTGGGCCCGCCTGATACCTGCACCCAGCTGGCAGTCCCACACCTCCCTGGACCAGAAGGGACAGTCCCAGAGCCTCTGGACCAGAAGGGACAGTCCCAGAGCCTCTGGACCAGAAGGGACAGTCCCAGAGCCTCTGGACCAGAAGGGACAGTCCCAGAGCCTCTGGACCAGAAGGGACAGTCCCAGAGCCTCTGGACCAGAAGGGACAGTCCCAGAGCCTCTGGACCAGAAGGGACAGTCCCAGAGCCTCTGGACCAGAAGGGACAGTCCCAGAGCCTCTGGACCAGAAGGGACAGTCCCAGAGCCTCTGGACCAGAAGGGACAGTCCCAGAGCCTCTGGACCATCAATCACTGAGAGAAGGAGGCCTTCAGGTCAAGCTCATAAGAGCTTCAATTATTTTTCCACTTCTTTAGAAACAAGACTTGTATCGACGTCATTAACTGATGTCATCGTCTCTTCATGTCGAAGACTGTATCTCCAGTCATTCAATGAGCCGAGAGTTTTGGGGCTAAATAACAGGTGTAATTGGTTCTTAAAAATCTTGGAAATAGGAAAAGGAATTATGGCATTTTTCAACCATGTAAGAAGGATTATTGCTGCCTACACTGGGACTTGAGCGGAACCATGTGCATCAATGCTTCCATGGTCATGCAGAGCTAGACAGGGCAGCATATGCATTCATGCTTCATAGTCACAAGTGGTTTAAGAAAACATGCAATCAGTACTGACGTTGCTGGAACCAGACTACTAATGGTATTGACGTGAGTATTAACGATGTGCAAATTGGTACTCTGGTGTGTAAGTCAACAATACTTGTGGACGTTTCATTATTCCAGATGTGTGTGCGTAATATCTACCGATGTGTACGTAGGCGGTACCGATATGTACGTCTAGGCTACTGTCATGTACGTAAAAGAATTATCAGCATTTAGTCGGCATGTGTTTAATGAATGTCGTGATAGGTTAGATTAATACCGTTGTGGGAGGTGCTAGAATTGGCGGCAGTACTAGAACGCACAGCCACGTGTCGAGAATTACAATAATTATCACAGGACTGTTTTCATCATCATCTTCATCATCATCATCTTCATCTTCATCTTCATTATCCTCGTCAGTCCCAAGCCTGCCATATGCCGCTCTTCGTGGGCTCTGGCGAAGGAAGTCTCCTATCTCGCTCATACCAAAACTCTTGATATAGGTAAAGAGTCGGCTGGTATATCGATCATACCAAAACTCTTGATATAGGTAAAGAGTCGGTTAGTTTTGACTCGATGTGTTTACTTCGCCTCAGTTCTTGCCACGAGATCACCCGGACTAAGAACCACTTCGCTCTGGTCCTGGCCTCCGTTGAGAGCCACAATCTCATCTCCAGTGGTCAACGAGGTATTAACAACACCGGTAGGTTCGTCTTTCCTAGGCTGCAGAGACCGCCTAGATGCGAGCTTCTGGGGGAAAGTTAGTTCTTCTTCAACGACCTTCCTATCGAACTCACATTTCTCGCTCACGGTAGACAGGACTATGCTGCCGGCCTTCTGCTCCTTCTTCGCCGGTTTGAGATCTTTCTTCTTCTTCAGAGGCGTGGCAATGTGGAAATTGACGTCGGAGAGAACAAGGGAGGTTCGCTGAGCGTCCAGGTCGTGAGGATTGTCAGCGGCTGCCGCCAGGTGGCTGGTGTGATTCTCGCTCAAGAATCGCAGCGAAGTGGGCTTGACGGCGGCGTCTTTACCCTCCGAAGTCTCGAGGTCGTCGACGCTGTAACTTTTGGAGGTCGAAGAGGCTATGATGAAGCTGTGGGAGACACCAGCCAGGTATTGCTATTATTATAATAATAATGCTTATTACAGAACTAAATCTATGATCCGATGGCAATAAATTCCAAAAAAAATGAGTCAAATATTCCTTAAAACTAAAAAAAAAATAGCCTCATCGGAGTTTCATAATCATTAACTGTGAGTGGCGGCGTCACTCACATAAATATGAGGGTCATGAGGAGATTAGCGGCGGCGCCGAAGAAGAACTGGGCCCCGGGGAAGACGTGGACCGTGGCGTGGTAGATGGCGGTGTAGAGGGAGAAGATGACCATAGCTATAGCTCCGTCCAGAGCCCCCATCACCGACGAGACTTTGCCTGCAGAGCGAAGGGACCAATGGGGTTGGTTACTGGGGATTCCCTAACCTCACACACACACAGGGGGCCCTCGCGGCTGAGTGGACAGCGCTCTGGGGTCGTAGTTCTAAGGGCCCGGGTTCGATTCCCAGCCGAGGCAGAAGCAAATGGCAGAGTTTCTTTCTCCCTGATGCCGCTGTACACCTAACAGTAAATAGGTACCTGGGAGTTACCTATTTAGTGCTAGGAGACAGCTGCTACGGGCTGACACACACACACACACTCTCTCTCTCTCTCTCTCTCTCTCTCTCTCTCTCTCTCGAAGGTGCCGAAAAAATATTAGAAAGTTTTCTTTTGCAAACAGTGGCAAATGGTTTGAACATGTAAGAAGGTGGTGGAGGCCAAAACCGTCAGTATTTTCAAAGCGTTATACGACAAAGAGTACTGGGAAGACAGGACACCACGAGCATAGCTCTCATCCTGTAACTACACGTAAGTAATTACACTGGCTCAGTATAGGAGTCTCGAGGATGAGTGGACAGCGCTCGGGGGTCGTAGTCCTAAGAGCCCGGGTTAGATTCCTGGTCGTGGCAGAAACAAATGGGCAGTTTCTTTCTCCCTGATGCCCCTGTTCACCTAGTAGTAAATAGGTACCTGTGAGATAGACAGCTGCTACGGGCTGCTTCCTGGGAATGTGTGTGTGTGTATGTGTGGTAAGAGAGAAATATATGTAGTAGATATAATAGTGGAAAAAATAGATTAGATAGAAAGGCGGGGTCCAAGAGCTAATAGCTTGATTCTGCAGGCACAAATAGTAAATAGTAAACACACACACACACTACTAGGTGAGTACACACATACACACTACCAGGTGAGTACTAGGTGAGTATACACACACACACACACACTACTAGGTGAGTACACACATACACTACTAGGTGAGTATACACACACACACACACACACTACTAGGTGAGTACACACATACACTACTAGGTGAGTATACACACACACACACACACACACACACACACTACTAGGTGAGTACTAAGTGAGTACACACACACACTACTAGGTGAGTACTAAGTGAGTACACACACACACTACTAGGTGAGTACACACATACACTACTAGGTGAGTATACACACACACACATACACACACTACTAGGTGAGTACACACATACACTACTAGGTGAGTACTAGGTGAGTATACACACACACACATACACACACTACTAGGTGAGTACACACATACACTTACCCAACTCATCTCCCGTCACAAACTTGGAGAGAATGGACCTGATAGCGATGACACAGGAGTTAACAAGGAGCGCCGCCGCAGGTGCTGCAGGGGGGGGAAGGAACAGGTGTCAACACCGGGCTACAGGTTACTTAATCCTCCAAAGTATAAACAAGCGAAGCATAATTACATTTCATTAAGTAACTCTTCACAAGGTATAACGAAACAGTTCTCCTCTGAAAGACTTGCAGGGCAAATATCAATTATATTGCATAATTTGCAAACACAATGATTTGCAATAGTGTGTTAATTGCTTGTGCAAGCACACCTGAGGTGGCTGACGAAACACAGTCACGACATCAACAATCCTGCATCTGCGAGGTCAGCCGGTCCTTGTTTTGTTTGACCTTAAATATATATTGCAAGCACGACACGTGCACGCAAGCACGACACGTGCACGCACGCACGACAGGTGCACGGAAGCACATGTGCGTACGCACGTTACCTCATTACAAATGCTCAGAAAATCACCTTATCATCATGTACATGAAAATAATCTGAGTACAAATGTTTACAATTTATCACCTCCTTTGATCACAGTGAATTATTTAAATTCATGACTTTCTTTACTGATTCCATCTACACAGGACTTGGAGTCGAACGAACGAACAAAATATAGGACAAGATACTCTTCGGGTGAGCGGGGAAGTGGGTATAGCTGAAGAATAACCGGTGAGAGGAGACATCGAAGTCGAAGAGAATCGCGAGTCTTACCTATCCAGACGAGGAACTCTGCGTTCTTGGAGACGAGGCCGTAGAAGGTGTAGTCGGCGACGGAGGCCAAGGCCCCCAGGATGGCCAGGTAGTTGTCGGAGACGCCCAGGCCTCGGGACAGCAACGGTACGGCCACCAGCGACCCTGCAGAAGGAGCAAGTTCGCACTTTAGGGGAGGAGGAGAGACATGTTTTGGGTCGAACTTGACGAAGCGCTCTTGTGGTGAAATGTTCGCTCGTTGGGTTGTCTCTATTAGCACTGCTTTGCTGTCACACACACACACACACACACACACACACACACACACACACACACACACACACACACACACACAACTTCAAGTGTAGATTTGATAGAGCCCAGTAGGCTCAGGAACCTGTACATTAGTTGACTGACAGTTGAGCGGCGGGACCAAAGAGCCAGAGTTCAACCCCCGCAAGCACATCTAGCTAAGTACAACTAGGCAACAAGGTAAGTACACACAAACTATAATGCCGCTGACATCACCATAAGTAAGCATTATTAAACGATTTCAGTCAAAAATATATTTGTATGTTTACATACAAATGAAGCCTTATACTGAACAAATTCACAAGAGCCGTGACGAGGATTCGAACCTGCGTCCGAGAGCATCCCAGACGCTGCCTTAATCGACTGAGCTATATATATATAGCTCAGAGGGATTAAAGCAGCCTCTGGGATGTTCTCGGACGGAAGTTCGAATCCTCGTCACGGCCCTTGTGGATTTGTTCATTTGATGCACCACGCAATTGTGATTTCTGTGTGTAAGCCTTACACTACCTGGCCATATTGTGGCCTCCGAGATGACAGCATTATCATCAGAGAATGGAAGAAGTGAAACAGTCTATAGCAAGACCTATTTTCCTGTATTTAAGCACAACGGCCTAAAAGAAATTTCGGATCCTCCCAAGGGGACTGATCTCGATGCCAATGGAACTCTTTGGTGGACTCTATGCTGTTTAAAACTTGACAGAACGCTGACGAGAATGCTGTCATCAGAATTATCTTACGTGGCAACCTTAAGGCCAAGCCAGAACTCGTTTAAATTGCCGTCTGTTGCGGGCAAAAAGTTGTGTTGCGAAGACAAGAACGAGTTCGTCGACCTGTAGCGAGATGCGCGGTCCCAATGTTGCTGCATATTGTGATGCTATGACCCCCTCCCACGTCGCACCCCCTCCCACGTCGCACCCCCTCCCACGTCGCACCCCCTCCCACGTCGCACCCCCTCCCACGTCGCACCCCCTCTCACGTCGCACCCCCTCCCACCACATTCTTCTCTGGCCTCCCACAGCTTCTTGATCACTGTCCTGTCCCATTCACTGCCATACTACTCTTGTTCTCCCACACTAACATCCTCCCACTGTCAAACTCCCCCCCTCATCCGCCCCCTTCTCCGAGACCTTCAAGACACTTTTACTAACTGACCCATTTAACACACACAAAAAAAAGTTACGTATCTATGCGAACTTTCACATGGGCGTATAAATGGCATTTGACATTTCGTGTAGGTTGCTTACTAGACGCAGCGTGGTGGAGGTAGACTGTGGCGAGCACCTTGAGGTTATATTGAGATGATTGCGGGGCTTAGCGTCCCCGCGGCCCGGTCTTCGACCAGGCCTCCCTTTTGTTACACACCCCCAGGAAACAGCCCGTAACAGCTGTCTAACTCTCAGGTACCTATTTACTGCTAATGAACACGTGCATTCAGAGTGAAAGAAACATTTTGCCCATTTGTCTCCGCCTCCACCGGGGATC